ACCACTGATTTCTAGTTGTGTCCTCTTTTGGAAGACCAAACAAAGTAGTTTCACTTTCACAACGAAAAACACAGCGACTCCACAACATGGCAGCGGAGGCAACAGCAAGAATTAAAGTTACGCCTTCTTTCTTTGCGTGAACATTTGGGCGGCATTATTTGGAATATTTCAGGGATTTTTGGAAAGTTTCTGGAAATTTACCAGAAATTGTCCACCCCTTTGCAACCCCAGTTATTATTATTACATATAATTAAATAAATAGTTTTTAACATTATGAAATAAAAATAAAATAAATGTTTATTATTGTTATTGTTATTATTATTGTTATTATTATTAGTATTGCATGTAATGAAATAAATAATTTCCTAAAAAATAAATGTATAAAATATAACAGCAAAATAATAATAATACTAATACTAATACTAATACTACTACTACTACTACTACTACTACTAATAATAATTATTATAATTATAATAATTATTATTATTATTACATGTATTGAAATTAAATAAAATTAATTAATACACTGTAAAATAATAATAATAATATAAGAAAATTAGGATTGTTTTATTCATAGTTTTTAAACACTGTTAAATAAAAATAAACAAATAAATGAATAATATTAAAATCTAACAAAATGTGCAAAATGTATAACAACTTAAAATAAAATATAATAAAATAAATTTACAGCCATAGGTTTTAACACTATGAAATAAAAAAATAAAAAATTAATGTATATTATTATTATTATTATTACTACTACTACTACTACTATTATTATTATTATTATTTATTTTATTTTTTTTACATGTAATGAAATAAATAAATTATGCTGAATGTCGCCCCAAATGCATGACTGACAGCAAAATCCAAAGTCTTGAAGACTTTGAAAGCCTCCTGCGTCCTGCATCGGCTGTGTGTTTGGGTTTGCTCTATTACATTAGATTAGTAGCTGCTCAACAAGACTTCAAAACGGCAAAACCGTGACCAAACACTGCAAATAAACAATCATCCTGACCTCTGAAAGAAGCCAGTTTTAAAACGGTTACTCCGCTCATTTGGGTCGAATCCACATCCTGAAACCTCACACGCATTCACCGCCTCTATAAAAGACACGATACTACACACACGTCTGAAACCCAGCTCACAAACTACAGCGAGGGCCAAACCAAACAGACACAGACCTTTCAGGAATACAATGTGTGGGAGGAGAATAAAAGAGGCGAGCGTGCAAAGAAAGCGAAAACGTGAGCATAGAAATGTGCTTGACTAAACCCTTCATTCAACCACAGAGGATTTAGCAGCTTTAAACACCCTATTAGAAAACCATTAGCCTCTGAGACGAAAAACAAAGAGCTTCTCTCTGACGATCACATAAACAGCACAATCAGAACCAGCTCTGTAGTGAAGACACACTTTTGATCGCACACTGGCTGAGCTCTAAATGTGTGGAAATGTCAGAGAAGACTGTTTTGGGTAGAAAAAAATGCTAATTTAGCAAACCCAGAGATTAAAAGCAAATGCTTTTCTGTTGGTTTGTCTGTTGGGTACAGGACGTATTTCTCAGACGCTGTTGTTTATAGCTCAAAATATTCAATGCATATGTCATATTTCCCACCGTTCAGAAGTTTAAGGTCATTTTTTTGAAAGAAATGAATGCATTTTCATCAAGGATGCATTAAATTGATCAAAAGTGAGAGTAAAGACATTTATAATGTTACAAAAGATTTCTGTTTCAAATAAATGCTGTTCTTCTGAACTTTCTGTTCATCTGTGAATCCTGAAAAATAAAATGTATCACGGTTTCCACAAAAATATCAACTGTTTTCAACATTGATAATAATCAGAAATGTTTGTTGAGCAGCAAATCAGCATATTAGAATGATTTCTGAAGATCATGTGACACTGAAGACTGGAGTAATGATGCTGAAAATACAGCTGCGCATCACAGGAATACATTACAGTTTAACAGAGATTCACATAGAAAACAGCTGTTTTAAATTAGAATAATATTTCACAATTTTACAGTATTTTTAATCAAATTAATGCAGCCTTGGTGAGCAGAAGAGACGTCTTTCAGAAACAAAAATCTTACCGACTCCAAACTTTTGAACAGTAGTTTATACCAGCGTTGCCTAAACTTCTTTGGAAAAATAAAAATAGACGTAAATGAGACAATAACTGACATACATTAAGAGTATATAAAGTGAACGTTTGTCTCTGACTCTCTCTCGATACGTGAGATTTGAGTCCATATTGAGATATAGTTGAGATCTCTTGAGGAGGAGAGATTTCTGAGGTCTGTTTCTCAGAAGGAAAATGAGAAGCTAAAGCGCTTGAGATTAAAGAGCTTTATGATTTGTCTTTATGCTCTGATGTCCTCATGGCACCTTTTTCTGCTTAACAGTGTGTTTATTATGAATTGGCCGCATTATAAATAGTAACTCTATCCAGCAACTTTTCTGCACTTCGACTGGTTATTTTCAGCCGTGGCATTAGGACTTGGGCGTCACGCTCTGGGTTTGGATGAATCACGAAAGGCCAAATATTCTGACTTCATATTTTCTCGATGCCATGAAGCAGCAGCAAAACGAACATCTGGCAACCCACAATGATTTTACTAACAGCACCGAAACTATAAAAACCAAGGAGCATGCGTTTGTCACCTAATACGCTTTCAGGGTTTCGGCTGCGAGATGTTACCATGTTTATTGATTTCATCAGCTGAATGTGAAATATATTGCATCCAGGTTGCATTCAAAAGCCACGAGTTCGTTCTAAACAGACATGACAGTGAAATGGAAATGAGCTGCATATCGTGGGATGAAATTCTGATTTCCTTTTACTCTGTTGGTTGTATACCTTTTCAACTTTTATACCCTGGTAAAAAAGCATAAGCTGTTATTTTTGTTCCTTAGGCGTCCAATTTTGGTTCCACTGAAAGAGAAAAAGAAAAAAAATAGGGGGAAATAAACACAAGCTTAACTTTGGAAAGTCTGAAGTGAATTAGCAGCTCTTCTCTTACAGTGTTTTTGATTTGATGATAAACTTAGTTTTCCTTCCCACATCATTCCAGTTTTATAGTTTTCATATCTTTTATGTGGATTTTTATTATTATTTTAAAATATGCACTAAACCTTACAAAAATATGCTATTACTATTTAAAACACCGTCATTGTTTGAATTGCCTTTGAGGCGTTTTGGAACCAAACTCTTCATATTTAACCCTTGTTTTGTGCTGATTCTTGGTAAAAAATGACTGATCTTTAAAACTTGCATGTAAATCACTCATTATGCAGTTTTATCAGCAAATCTTCGATTCGATCTTTTTGTTTTCTTTGAATGAGCACAGCTTTTGTGTTTCATTTTGATCCTAGGCCTCATTAATCTGAGCT